CTTGGGGTGAATTTGCTGAGACATCCACTCCCTGGAAAAATGCAGCTTTGTGTTTACACACACCTGAATGCTCCAGACCTGCAAACATCTGTTTTTATTGATAATCAATAATTAAAGTGCGTTTAATTAGCAGCACCTGACTGCTCCTTACCCTCTTAATTCTTGTGGAAGCAGTGAGAGTGAACTTCAGTCACAGGACTGAAAAAACCCCTCCTTTTTATATGATTGTAATATATAAATTTAGAATGGTCTGAAGTAGCTGCTCTGGTCCTGAATTTAGAATTAGTTCCAAAGTGCTAGAAATCTTTTTTTTTCCTAATTGCATGACCTTTTCAGAGGCTTTTATTTTTTTTCACAAGGACTGAATGAGGACATCTCAAAACGCTGTGTTATCGACCATTAATTTAGGACCATTATCAGCCATTTTCTGTGATTACTTAGCCAGGAAAGGAGTATTTTCTGTCAGGAATAGCCTTGCTATGATCATTATAGCTTATCAGTGTCAAGCTAGATCTGTGCTAGATGTGCTGTGAGTGTGATACTGTATCTCTATCATTTGGCAAGTGTTAAAATGCTGTTTGTGGGGCTTAGGATTTATCTGCACCACAAACACCATCCAGTGGATTTATCCCTGCCAGTGTCCTTTGAAAGTAGGCCAGGACCATTTATTTGTGTGTTTCATCTGGCACATTCCTGTTGTACCTGCATCTAACCACACAGTGGTAAAAAAGAAAGAGCTGGCGGGTATATGCATGGAGATTTCTGCATGCCTTTGAGCCGAGCTGTCACAAAATTAGGGCCACAACAAACTAGATTATAGCTCGCCACAATCAATCGCCATATTACAAGACACAGCTAATAAGCTGGCTATGGGAGCAAGCCACAGTGACCCTTTAGCAGATGATATTTACATATGCACAGAAAAAAAAAAACAATAAAATATAATAACATATAAGAAAATATGAAAAGTTTATATGGAAAATTTGAAGTAAAATTGAGTAAAGGGGAACAATATTAATTACATTTTTTATAGAACAAAGAAACAATAAAGAGTAGAAATCCTCTTTCATTTTACTTTAATGAAGCAATTTTGTTTTTTGTTGACTTTAATAATTAGGATATTTCTTTCTTTCTTGCCTCTCTATAAAAATAACTATGAGTTACATTAAAATAGCTATTGATCGCAAACTTGAATTAGCCAGATGCTTTGTATGGTTTGCCAACGAGCTGTCATTCCAGTCTCATATAACACTATGTGAAGGGATGATCCTCTACTCCAGCCCTAATGCTGCACACACACAGTGTCCCACTGCGGTTGGTTTCATGCCAAACCCAACATCACAGCAGGGTTGAAAAGTGCCACTAGCTACTAACCACCTGGTGGTAGGGATTTTTTTTTCTTGCCTCTCGCCTTTATTTAGACAGCACAGCAGAGATAGGCAACGGGGGGGAAAGGGAACAGGGAATGACAAGCAGAGAAGGTCTAGCTGAGTGGGAGTTTATCCTGGGACTCTGAGATAAAGGGCATTTTAGCTCATTTGGTATGCATCTTGACTACCCTACAATCGACCCTAAATCATTACACTTTGTTAATCAATCAGTTTAACAACCTGGTAGCTGCTGCAGGTCGACCAAAAAGTACTTTTCATTGAAGCCATTTTACTGTTTTTAATGGCAGTCAGTTTGAAGCGGCTAAACTAACTGTGATGGCTAAATTCCAAACCTAATGCTACAACCTTAGTCAGTGCACTGTATTACAGCTGTACTCCAAGCATAATGCTAAGTCATGGTATTATGGCTTCACTCCAAGCAAATATTGTAACCCCAGCCAGTGTATTATATCGCTGTTCAAAGCCAAATCCCAACTGCTGTCATTCTCTCTTTCACTATCACTCTCTTGATTAGAAGCTCTGCAGCCAGGGCTTTGTTTGGGGTTGGAACAAACACATAAGCTCACAGTCAGATCCTGTGTATGCTTATGTGTGCGTGTGAGAGAGAGTAGGGATTAACTGATACCTTCTTGTGTGCAAGTGTGTGTGTATGTGTCAGAAGAGTCTCACAGTCTGCTGGGATGGTGGAGTCCTGGAGGCACCATATGGTCTCCGTGCCGCTCATAGACCTCTCTGTTCTCCTCTTTCGCCTCTCCTCCTTCTTCCTCACTGTCTGCTCTCTTTCACTACACCTCTTTGATCTCACATCCCTCTTCCTCCTCATCTCTACTCCCCACTGTTTCCCCGTTTTTTCTTGCTCCCTGTATTTCACTTTGTGTCACTCATTTTATATTCTCCCCCTCTAGTTTGTTTTTAAGTCTTGAACTCTTTAACTGTCATGTCTAAACTCTTTTAGCCGTTTTAGCCATTTTTCTTTAACGTTTCTTGATGGTGTAGTGTATCTATTTAGAGTATTTCTGGATTTTGGTCAAACTTGTGGAGTGCATGCTTTTCTAGCTCGTATATTCACCAGGGAATATAAAAGTCCAGATAGATATCTGGGTTGTTACCATACAAGAATTTCGAACTTGATACAGATACCCAGAAAAATACTTAACACCGTTTTCAATACCACAAGGGGGATTGTTTTTAAAGTAATGTGATAGTGGTTTGTGCAAATGCATGGCATGAACCATGCAGCTGGGTTTATTTCTTGTCTTCTGGTGGTTTGGCATCATATTTTCAGATGATCAAATAGAGTTGATAAAGTAGGCTGCCACTGTTTCGGTGTAGTTGCTGATAAACTTTTCTTTCCTTTAATCTGAGACTTTAAGAGAAACATAACACTTTTTAAAGGACAAATAATTGTGTTATCCTGTTAAATTAACATTGCCAGTTACAGCTGAGCAGGCCTGATAATGTTTGTTGCCTAGCTTGCACATTAACTTTATCATTAGCCATAGCTGCTAGCCACTACCTTAATGATAATGGCAGCTAATGTGGGTAATTGCTAATACTTAAACAGCTTGTTAGCGTGTGTGCTGGCCAGGTTGTGATAACGGTTCAATGAAAATGGGGGGAGTTCTGTGTCAATAGGATGAAGGCGGCACTGTTGATATCAGCGTTGTTGCAAATAAATATCTAATCCTATAGTAATTTTAGTGTCAGTTAGTATCCGAGTATCAATTTTCCAGACAAAAAGGGTAAAGCATTTAAATACATTTTTGCATTTGATAATTTTATTTGGCACAACAACTGCAAAACACCCACAAGCCTCCATCCATCAAGGCCAAAACTAGCAGACGCTGAAGAATACAAACACTTCCCAAAAGTCTCTCTCCATTTTTCTTCTTAATCCAGTTTCTGTCCTTTGTACACACCATTTGGGTTCTTCAGCATTTTGTAGTTCGTGCAGAATTATAATGACAATTCAGTGGAAACACGTAGTTTCAAATCCTCCCTGTCAAATTCTAGCTCTGAATGAACTTCTTCAGCAACTTCATGATTTGCTTGTCATTGCTGGCGCTGATGTAATGAAATTCTTACTGCTTCCTACTCTCGATATATCCGTTTCTCAGTAAGTTATATAGTATATGTATGTGTTTGAATTACAGCCTCAGTGGAGAGAGCGGAGGAAGATTCTTTGCTTTGCAAGAGGCATACAGAACAACATTGAAAAAGCAGAGGGAAGACAGGGAAAACACCTGCTTTCAAAGAGTTTGGAAATATTTGTAATGCACATTATGTGCCGATCAAGTGCATTTATCTTAACTGAGAGAGAGCTTTGGCATCAACACAACGTGCTTCTTTTTAATTCAGTGTAATTGCAAGGAAAGGCTCTGAGACGTTTGATGACAGATAGAATATTTTAGAGGAATTACTATTCCTGAACAGCTTAGAGTAGACCCTACAGCAAATATGCTACTAAAGCTTACGCAGGCATCTGAGTTAAACTGATTTGAATTAAATACGGAGATGAAAGAAGGTTGGAGAAAATGTAAAGTGCAGGTAGAGAGAGAAAAGAAGAGGTATACGGTGCTGGTATGGAGACAACGAGAAGCTCAGAGGGAGGCATATCTGTTGACTTAGAGTTTCTGTGTGGGTGTTTGGAGGTTCAGACACATAGTGTTGCCCTGTTATTTAGTGTCCTCGGTGTTACACAGCAGTTTGTGGGGGCGTCTTTTTTCCCCCCCCCAGACACCTCAGGACCAATAATACCTTACCTCGCCAACAGGAAGACAAAGATCCCTGTTCTCTTAGTCTCTCTCTTTTGTAAAGCCATTCATTTACAGCATGTGCTCCTTCAGCATGCGCATGATGTAAAACAAAAGAGGAAAGGAGTGCCCTTGTGTTTGCCTATTAGCTGAAAAATTGGCTGGAATCTCTCAGAGAGTGAGAACCATTTGTGCCGCTGTCTGCTCCACAACACACACAACCACACACACACGCATACAGCTGTCCTATCTGTTGCTATGCCACCCGACTTCTGATGGATTTTTGTTTTGACTGAGTGTACCCGCAATATGAGACGAAGGGGGAAAAAAAGAAAAAAGATAATGGGTCCAAAGAGACTTGGATGCAGGGATGGACAGGAATAAAAGGAAGAGGCAAAGGGTGACAGGTGAAAAAAGGAGTGAGATGCAGAAAAAACAAAGACAATAAGTGAAAGGAAAGGAAAGGAAATCTTGGTTCGGAAAGGAAACGATAGGGTGAATTAAAGAAAGAAAATATCATATCACTACATCTCACTGGCTGGATTAATACAGTAATGTGGCATTTCTGTGGAAGCCTTGGCACGTGGCCACAGTATGCTCAGTGCCCTTGTCCTTTGAGTGCGCGCATGTCCGTGGGTATGTGTGTGTTCAATCATGCTGGCATGCAAATATTAGCAGCTGTCAAAACAGACAGTGTTCCTCCTTTCATGCATAGTTTGGAGTACAATAGACGTGAATAAAATAGACTGGAGTTGAGTAGGAGAGGAACAGCATGTTTTCCTCTCTTCTTGTTTTTTTTTTCATAATCTCACTCAATTTTGTCCCTATTAATCTGCTCTTTGTTTTCTTGACTCACCTGGTTTGGCCAAGTAGCAGTGGTAGATAGTGGCGCTAGCTGGGGGAAGGCCAGTGCCCCCGGGGGGGTGGGTGTGGGGGGGCATGACAGAGCACTGCGGCCTTCCTCTGATGGAGGGACGGGACTGTGGAAGCGGTGTCAAGGCGCCATGAATGAGGCTCCCGACAATGTGGTGAATGTGAAAAATCACACCAAATCACCTGAACAGACAGAGAAAAGACAAGTATGACAAACACATCCACAATCCAACCTCAAATCCTGATCCCGAGACTGTATCGCATCGATTTGTTATCTCACGGGTTGCCAAAACCCCCGTGCAAACATGCATGCGCACTCCCATATGCCGTCAGCAGTGAAGGCTAAGGCAGCGGGATACTGTGTGTGTGCGAAAACTCATGTTTGTGATACATTAAAACTGTGCTTCTGCGTTTGCACCTATCCTGGCAAGTGTGCATATTTATGTATGCGCATGCAGTCATCACAAACCACTGGTACATAATAGACATAAATAACACATGTTTTTTTCTTTTAGTCTACACAATCATTTTGCCTTTAATGCAGACAGACCCCCTAGTGCTAACTGTCTGGCACCGAGAGACAAAGTGTGAATGACACAGAGGGAAAATGGGAAGACAACAGTGAGAGAGAGACAGAGAGATGGATAAATGTAGAATCTGTAAATTACAGCAAAAGTGGGAGGGAAGGAAAAGAAGAGATGAATGGAAAGAATAAACAAGTGTAAGTGTCATTGTGGGGCTACAGAACTACCCTTGAGCAAAGACAGCAAAAGGTGATACAATGCTGCTCATACTCTCTTGTCAGCTTGGCAAGTCTATGAAAGAAAATCAACAAAACTTTTAGCAAAGGAAACAGTGAAACTATCCTCATTGATTTCCTTATAGAGGCAGCAAATCAGCAGAACCTCCTCATTGCAGAATGCTGCAGAAAACATAATTACATATTATGGGTTTTTTTTTTATATTTATATTGTTAAGTTAAGTTAGGACTATGATAGAGTTCAAAGAAGACTGTCGATCTTCCATTTTTGTTAGGTCGGGTCTGTTCTTGGACTTTCTGGCCATTCGTTTCTCGCACATATGTGGTAAAGATGAGATTGGCAAGGCAGCAGCAAGATCCAGAACACAACAGAGGGCATGAGTGAGAACAGATAAACATGAAACATGAAAAGAGGAGCAGGGATGAAGGTGGGCTGAAAGATGACTTTTAGATGTGTTGCGTCTGTACCCTGGTCGAAGCACTAGTAAGTCTTTCCCCCATAAAGATGACATTTGATTTAATTAAAAACCAGTTTTGAAACGGCAGTATATATTGATAAAGACATGATTTAACAACCATTAGAATAGTTTACTGGTTTTTCCAAAAGTAGCTGCATAGACAGTGACCACCCTCACTAACTTCTCATGCAAACCCAGTTATTTTGTTCTATAAGCATGCATGAAATATGACAGGAACCACTCAGTTCAGAAAAAAGCTTAAAGGGTCACTCCTAGTTGGCTTTCAAGGTTAATGCCCCCAACTGGATGTGTAGAATGGGCTGAGATCGGCTATAAACTATAAACTTGTCTTTGTGGCCTGTTTGAGTTAGTCATAGAGCTAGATGTGTTGTTGTTTGGACTTGTAACTCTGTAAACTAATTTCAGTACAGTTTACTTTATATAGTACCAATTCAAAACTTAAACCCTTGCCTTAGGATTTCTACAAAATTAGATAGATAACCACAATAATCAGGCATTCACCGGTAATCAAGCACTTGGTGACAATGGGGAGGAAGAACTCCCTTTTAACAGGAAGAAATCAGAATCAGACTCAGGGAGGGGCAGCCATCTACCACGACCAGCTAGGTGGAAGAGGGGAAGAGAGCAAATGAGAGGAAAAAAGTTTATTGTATCAGTTCGATAGATGGACTGAAAAATGAATGACCTGTGTCAATTACATCACTGTAGTGAAACTTATCTCACATGCTTAAAAACAAAGTTTTCTTGTCACTGTTGAGTAATTGCAGTGAAAATAGGTCTTTACAAGTGGGAAATTACCATAGGAGAAAGCTCTTATGACATGACTGACATGGCACAGTGTTGACTCATAACCCCCCTCCCCCCTGGGCCAATCAGTGTAATTTTGAAAATGCTAGAGTGTGCTGCTGTGAGATGTGCCTTTTTCCCAAAGTGTCATCACAACCCAATCAGCAGTGTGTGAAATATCTCACTAATCAGATTAGGCTGTTGTTCGATGGTTAGCTGTTTGCAGGGAAAACTCAGGCCGACTTTTTCCACACGGTTCATTTCGCTATCGAGTTGAACAGAGGCAAAGGTGCATTTGCGCATGTGATTTGCACTCATTTGATGATACATGTGCAGCAACTGTTAATTTACACCTGTACTACCTTAAATAGCCATGTTAAGAAAAAGAACCCGAGGTAGCTGGAGGATAATGCTGTTGTGTTGTTCAACTTTCTGCGCATGGAAGCTTACTTTGAGAAGTATCGGTCGATCAATGTGCTCTATCAGTCTGCTAATCAGTTGTCAGTATGATAATTGCAATTGGTTGAATATCAATACTAGGGGAGAGGAGAAAAAAGTGGTGGAGTCACTGAATTAGGTGGGATAACGAGGAAAGGAGATATAGTAAGAAGATAGTGATGAAAGGATAAAAAGAAAAATAGAGACAAGGCAGGAAATACCAGAAGGAATAGGGAGGTAAAAATAAGGGCAATGGGTAAAACAGAAGCACATTAAAATTCTCCTGCACCACCTCTTTAGTGTTTTTGCATGTGTATGTGTGGGTTTGAGTTGTCCTATTTGTTGTATCATTATTTTCATTAGTACCTGGCAGACACTGAGGAAAATATAAAGCACTAAACTGATGTTGCGTTTCTTTATTTAGATTCTCTTTTGGTATGTTTTCTTATATTTCCACATTTATTCCTGTTTTTTTCTTTCTTTGTGACCTTCATTTATTCAGCATTCGTTTCTCTCCTCGTGGCTTTCATTCATTCCCTCTCTTCCTCTCGGTCCCTTTCTCTCCTTAACAAAGGAACAGAGGCATGCACCGAGGATATTCAGCAGATGGATTTCCTGCATGTGATTAAAGTCACATTAGCTCTGCTCTACTGGGAAATTTCAGTTGTTCTTTTTAACTGAGCACATGAGCTTCTTTTGGAAAACTCAGAAGCATTAATGAGCAATGGAGGGAACTTCTGGAAGATTCATCTGTTTGGTTTAAGCTCTAAGCCGCAAATGTTTCATTTTTGATTTTGCTGGTAGGGTGTGACTTGTAAAGCTACATTACCTTGGTTGATACTGTGACTGAGTGATTCAAATTTAAGTCTCTACAATTAATTAACGACTGAAAACTAACAGACTCACCAAAATGTGGGTATTTTTGGATCCTTGCTTGTCTGAGCCCCCTATACAGCCTCGGCACAGCAGAATTCATATGTATATCATTTGAAGAGTGCATTCTTCAAAGATTTAACTTCATGCTTGTGAACTAATTTTCCATCAGATTGAATATTTCTGTGTGAAATAATTCTTATTTCCTTTTTCACCTTTGGAACTGTAACTGGTGCCTGGGTTTTTATGTTGGCCATTTTTCAGATGATTCATGGCTCTGTTTATGTTTTGATTTATTCAAAGGAGGGAAAACAGTGCTTTTCTTTGCAAGCAAGTAAAACAATGAAATCATTATTTTTTCTGAATGGGTGCAAATACAGTGAAAGGAACTCACATCTGGTTATTAGACAAAGAGCGATTGACATTTTTTTTGGCCTCTCTTTTGCCGTTCATTAGCTTAGTGTTGCCATTTTTAAACTACTTTGGAGGGAGGTACAAATATTTCAGCCGATATTGCCCTTTGGGCATCTTGACTAGTAAATTTAACTTTATTGATCGCACTGGCCAATGCTTATTCGTTCTGTTACAACAACAGTGCTGAAGACCTTAAAAGTGGGACAAACTGGGGAATAAATAACAAAACATTGCATTTCATCAGCAAGATCAGTAATAGTCCAGAATTTCACATGTGAAATAACATTTGAATTGTTAAAATTTGCAATTCATTCATGTTAAGCTTTGCCAAAATGTCATCATGTGCCTATGTATGCTGGAACTGATGTATTGAAGGTGTAGCAGAAGGTCACCTTTGCAGCCACGTTACTGGTGATGTGGCATCAAGCCTGCCAGGCTATTCTCAGAAACCTTCTTTTGACCTGGACAGGGGGCACCCAAAATCTACACATGCACCTATGCACGCATTTATATACATACACGTGTAAATACTTGGGTGTCAGAGTGACCCTGCCTATTGAGGAATCACGTAACACCTCCTCCCCTCCTCTCAGCTCCTCTTCTTCCTCTCCTCTTTACATTCTACTTTTGTCACTAACTCTTTGCTGTACTCACTCAGGCTGCAGTTGCATACCGCAGAGACTTTATGCAGGGCAACGTTTGACCACATGCCTTGGGGCAGACACATGAATCAGGCAGATTGTGTTTCTCCTCTCATTTATGGCAGGAGGTTGTTGATAGTGAGGAAGCGAGTTAACTTCATTCATGCTTGACAGGTTTATACTTTGTGATCGTGCTAATCAATTTCCAGGACATGCATATGTGTCCTCCACAAGATTATCAGCTCATGTAACAAAGCAATTTAAAGAATCGGAACAAACCTTATGTCTGAGTGATGTTTTTACAGTAGCTAGACATGTTTATATTTTGCCATCTTGAGCTCAATCCATCCATGTCTTATGTCTCCATAGCAAATGTGCACAAATGCTTTAGGATGCAGAACAGATGGATAATGTACAACAAAGATACTCAGTGCTACAAGAGGCAGTAAGCAATAAATCAATTCTTTTCTACACTGTGGTCATCTGCAATGAGACAACTTAAACCCCTTGACAAGAGCTTTAATCATTCGTGATTTGTCATGTTAGTGGGTTCAGCTGGAGGTCATCCAGTTTCATTTCTATATATCTGTGTGCAAAGGGAGGTGCGTTTATGTGTGTTTGGATGTAGGTGTGTAGATTTTGAGCAAATAGCCAAATTCTTCACTTGAAACAGGGGTGTTAAACATAATGCTCAGGGCATGCAAACCGGGCCACTGGATGTTTTTAAAATAAGAGGGAGGGCATAAATTTTGGGCTTTAAATTGTATTTTAATAAGTTTTACAGCTTTTCTGGCTGATAAAGAACTCCCACGTGGCCATCCATACTGGACCACAGTAATTAAGCAACAGATAAACTAGTGTATACAATTCTATACATTACATAAATGTAAAGTCAAACTTCTTCATATTGACAGAAAGGAGAGTTTCACCAGCCCGGCACACTCACGATCAAAGAGGGCTGGAATTGGCCCGCCATGTAAAATGAGTTTGACATCCCTGACTTAAAGCCATGCTTTTAAATTTCTTATATACACACAGACATGCATACAAAACTAACAGGGAATACAAAATCATGAAAACACTTGAGTGCAAATACATTGTTAAATGTGCGTGTAACCGTGCAGGTTGCTGACAAAGGCAGAGCCAGGCAGCCAAGCTCCCTAAATCAATTTTTAATGGCTTTGTTACACTGGAGAGGGAAGAGATTGGGGCAACATGGCACACACACACGCGCCTAACCACACGCCAGTAGCTGTACAAAAAGAGCAACGTACTGTATGTGTTGACAGGCACATGGTACAGTTATATGTACAGATATATTATAACACATGCATGTGGGTATGCAGCCACATGTTGAACATTCATATGAATAGCATTCTGTCCAAGAGTTGAATTTCACTGAACATATGCTGTTGATTTTAATAAGTATGGAACCGATATTACACCATGTCAAGGTCAAGGAAAATTCTTGTGAAAAGACTTGTGTCCCTCAGCTGTGGATAAACAGAACCTGCTAAAGATGGTCAGTTATGCTTCAGATGGGTTTGAACAGCTGACAGCTATTTTTATTTACACTCATTGTCTTGGTATTGTAACTGTATATTATGTCATGATTTTTTTTTTTGCTTTCTTTACTTTTATTCTGTGTAAATGATCAGTTTTTGCTAATATCACATACAATCTTAGCTAGTCTCATTTTTTTTGAACACCACCCAGATCTGATAGTAGCGCTTAGGAGTAAGAGGCTAAGAGTAAAATTTGTCATTTAGTTAAGTGCATCATTAATATCACCCAGACTCATTAAATCCTTTGCAGCTGATATTATCTAAATCATTTAATGAGTGGTTTCACATAAGCCCCCAGACTGGCCTCAATTGTTAGCCATGTTTCTTAGTAGACATACAAAACTAGTGCAGCCACATAATCCATTAGTTTTATAATTGTTTTCTCTAGAATAATGTCAGAAGGTGTCTGCGTTACTTGGAAAATAGTCTGTTTTCATTCATTTTTATCTAAAGCAGAGAGGCACAAAAGGGTGATGAAACCTCACACCTACTGCATGATCATACAATCACAGTGCAGCTATTGCAAGCTAATCACTCTTACATCACACCATCTGAAAAGAGATTAGTGCCCGTGAAGTGTTATAAAGCAGGTAAAAACAGCAACACACTACCCAGAGGCCTCTGAGTGAGAATTAACGCAGTGCCATTTAATGGCATCTATCAAGGGCTCTACATTGATTAATATTACATAAGATATTGTGAAGGTCATGAAAAGAAAGTACTGAAGAAATGTTCAACCAAGTTTCCATTAAACTGTTGGAGTAGTGTAAGATCACAGCATGTAGAAGGGACAGTATAAAAAAAAGTAAGCATAGATCATTTCAAGAATTAAAGCAGGTTTGCTTATATTCTGTACTGTGGTAAAAAAAAAAAAGGTAAATGG